GTGCGGCCTTGCCGACACTACACCGCTTCCCCTCCCTCCGCCATAAACGCACCGCTGCACTGCTAGGCGCCGACAAATACGGACCGGCGCCGCAACCGGCTCCCCCGCGGCCTGCCTCGCGTTGACATAGCCCTTCCCGAACACCAGTGTAACCCCCACGCGGCCTAGGTATCGCCGCGCCCACCTGTCCGCGGCGCGGCCTCTGATGGCGTATCGGATCATTGATGGTGCGATACATGTTTTGGTCAGATTTTCGCAATTAACGCGAAAAATTGCTTAAAACACTTTTTAAATTTCAAAATTAAAAAAAATAATAATTACAAAAAGGACGTGAAAGTGACCGTTTTCAACGTGTAAATTTAAAACGCTCTACCGCAGCCATTTTTGAAGAAATCGGCTTCAAATTTTGCACACGTGTTCATCAACCATATTTGTTTAACATATATTTCGGTTTTGTGAAAATTTTGAAAATTTCTTATATTTTTCTCTTGAGAAAGAGGTAAAGCTTCGCTACGATCGGCCTTCCGATCGACCGAGAAGATTCGTAAAGTTAGTTCGTATCTTCACCATTTGCGATACAACTTGCGTATCTACTTAGCCTACGATGTGATGGATCCCTCCAATATCTGTTCCGATTCAACTTACGTTTGATCGCAACTGCGAGGTGCCTTGCGATTACATGGATCCCCCCAGCCATAGTCAGTCACCCTGCGCTGAGTCACATGGTGACTCACTGACGCATTATATTCCGGGTGGTGACTCCCGCCCTATTCACTCATTATATTCGGCGCGGCGACTCCCACCTATGCCTAATCGTGCTCCACAGGCGGGCTCATGCGGCCTTGGAGGAGCGATATTCGTTCCTTTCAATGGGACGTTGCTAGGCGGTTAACCGCGCGGTATATCCGCCTGGTCACTGTCCTGTGGGCTGCGGCATAGTGCAGACTGTAGAGCTCCAAATGGCTATAATATTCGACGGCATGAACGAGTCCAGGAAGAAGGGGACTGTGTCTATGGCCCTCAATTGATATGGTTATATACATCTTTTTAACGTGTGTGACAGTTTCATTCATACCTTGATTTTAAAAAGTATAAAGTCAAAGCCAGTGGAACAAAGAACACAAGCACCACCTCAAAAGTACACTGGCCTGCTCCGCCATTGTTTGTCTGATCTGAGGTAGCGAGGAAGGAAATGTCTCGTGTTTTCCTTCAGCGTCCTGGCGCGAAAATCGTGACTTGTTCGGCATTCCTCGGCGAAACGTTTCGCTCGCCGGATGTTTTTGCACGTGAACTTCGACGTGTAAGCAAAACAGGAATGAGGCGTTCAGCTGTTGTTCTGCAGCCTCGAGAACCGTCGACGTAAGATAAAACAGACTCGACTTTTCGTCACGCCCCGCGTTGGGTTTTGCTCAGCACTCATTGATCTCACTGCAGCCAATTTGCGCTCGCTACATGTAGTCTCCCGCACCACCCCACGTTCGAACAACAATGGCGGACGCAGCGCGGTGATGCGGCGTGACGCCGCCAGCTGACTGCGCCAGATTCCCGCGCGCGGGAACCGTGGCCCTTTGTTCTGGATGCGCCGCCATGCGCGCTTCCTGTTGGAGCCGCAGGCAGCGTTTTGTGACGGGGTCACATAGAGGTGAGCTCCGAATGGGCGACAGACATGGAATCTGCTGAGTGTAATGATGGCAACTTAGTAAAGAGCCCCACAGTACAACAGTTGTTCCCAGAGCACACCTAAACACAATATCTAACGAATATTTTTGGCCGTCAGTGTGTGAATATTTCAGCACTCGAGTACCACCTACGTCCTACGTAATCAAATGCAAAGAAGAGTCCAACATTTTTTCTTCTCGTGTATGTTAATCGGTTCATTAGCATAGCATCACATTGAATTAATGAAGTATGTAGGTAAAGAACGCTCCGAATCGCCACAGCAAATATTTACCTTTTTGGACAAAGCTCGGTCAAGGCCAGGTCAACACCACACTGGTGCTCAAACAAAACACGATGGACGGAGCTGATCTGCCATCAAAACGGTGTAGCTATGGAACGGACAGCCATTAAGCGGCGGCCGTTTTAGATGACCGGAAGCCATGCCGTGACCGTGAGAGCCGGATGTGAACTATTTCCCACGCGTTTCCATCTTGATAGGGGCCGGGGTCGATGCTCTGTGCAACGGAATTGATCGAGTCTGTTCAGTGGAAGACAGGAGGGAAAAGATAATAGAGAGTGGAAACTGGATCGGCAAGGTTTCAATGCGTAATTAAGCGTAAACATGTAAGCTATGAAATTACAAGGATATTTGTTACCGATGCTTTGTGGTTAAGAATGCAAAGCCGGATGCCAGGTGGTGGAATGCTGGAATGGTTTACTGCAGGGTATTCGGGCTAGTCAAATTGGGGGTTATAAAGACCAGTTTAGAATGCTGTTGCCGGAAGCAGAACCAGCAAAAAGTGATGAAATCGCTTCTTGTTTATGACTGATTGCGGCTGGATGTTTCCTGTTGGTCGACTCCCCTAAATAAGATTGCTATAAAAACCAAAAAATGTATATCAAAGCCGATGCTTCAGTAATGCCTGTATTTTAGCGTGGGTATATCTGTTAAGAACATAACGCCATATCATTCTGACAAAAACATTTTTTCGGCGATATTACATGGTATCGACATTCAGGTGCCGTCATTCAAGAAGTATATTACTTCGAAGAGATACTAAATTCGAACAGCAGGTTAGTCTGCAGCATATTTAAGCTGTGCTGGTGTGTGTCATGCTAGGACCCAGCAGTTCAAAGGCATCGTTTTGCTTCAGTAATGGCTGCCACATGCTGGAGCATATGCCCGGCTCATTGTGAGTCGTGACTCACGTGTAGCTCACGCTATTTGGGCACGCACAGTGCCCGCTCACGATCCCTCTCACAAAAAGATCTGGATCGTGAGCGGCACACAATTACCGATCAAATGTGAGCAGTTGGCTTGGTATTGACCACGAGGCGCCATTTGGAAGAAAACTCTGCAACAGCTGACTGGGTCATGGAGGCCATGCGTCATTGTTGGAAACCAGAAATTTCAAGATATATATGGGAAGGGTAGTGCTGCAGGATTCCCGGAAATTCCTCAGCCCGGTGCGCCGTTTATACCGGTTAGAGCTAGATCAGTTTACGAACTTAACTTTAAGCATATGAGTAACGATATGTTGTGAGAAACATCTCATTGCACAGCAGGCAAATGTGGCGAATATGTGGCGTTTGCGGTCGACTGTGGCGTGTTTGTTCTGCTTCGGAATCCAGTTACCGTGAGCAATCACGAAACCGATCGCTGAGGAATTTACAGGAAACACACGGGACAATTGTTTAGGCGTCTGCCTATCCCGCAAGCTAGTGACTTTCTGTTACACCCAGCACTTAAATTTCCAATTAGTTTTTAGGTAGAACGAGTGTAACAATCATTTAGAACATTTATGTATCATTATGATTCGAATCGAGATCGGGTCGCTTTGACACTCGAAACGATTTTATTCACAACGCACATTGCAGAATCCTTGAAATGGGTGACAACTCAGTTACCCAAACCAGTTTGGTCCAAGGAAAGTAAACTTGTGGACGTCAGTATCACCTATGAACAGGCTCTGTTCGGAAAACTGTGCTGTGTGCATGGACAAACGGAGTAAAAAATATTGTCCGTTGATTTCCATTGAAGTTGTCGCCTTTTCCACATGCTATTATCCTTTCACCATCCTTCATTTTAATCATGCATTTCACGGATGCGGAAAATTTTCATGTGATCACGACAAATTTATCAGTAATTTCAGGATGTTGCCCAGTGTCCTGATCGAAGTACGGATAAGAGTGTCCATGCATAGACCTCTCACTCTCTGTAAACAGTTACTCTGTAAACTCTGAAAACTCTGTAAACAGACCTCTGTAACAGACCTCTGTTTACAGAGGTCTATGGTCCATGAATAATTTGGCCATTTTAGTCAGTGATCATAGCAAAATAGCGTCACTTTTCGTGCGGCAACGATTCTCAAGCTGCATTTTCAAGACACATTCCGTAACCTAACTATTCATCTTTCTAAATCCTTACCCCGTCAACTAAGTCACAATTACCCATGCAAATGACTCAAGCAAATTACCAAATATGCGCAGCCTTCACTTGATGCAGTCCTGAGGCCACAATGTGCAGCGGCCTTAGTTGCGTATTCTGTTGGCCATAGCCTGAGGCCCATGGCAACGGAATAGCACCGTCTCATTGCGGCGTACTCATCATCTTAGGGAGAGCGCGCTATGCAGGGAACCCACCAGATTGGCTGTGTCGGGGGTGTGACCTGCGCCACCCCTTCCCGCGATAGGTCCTCGATCAACGACTCTTGGAGCCGTTCCGCCGCTTGTGTAGGTGATTGTGGGTTTGAGGGTGCGGCAGCAAAAGTTTGAATCATGCATATGCAACAGAAGCTGCAACGGCTAACAATGCAGAAGTGGAATTGGAATACATTTGACCGCATCGAAGTAGTGTGGAAAAGCCAGTTCTGTGCTCGTTACCTGAAATGTGTGTCGAAAGACGCAATGCCAATTAGAGAACTTGCGTGTGTGAATGGAGAGAGTAGTTGAAAAGGACTTCTGGGAAGAATTGAAAGGTTTCGGTTGCAACATTTTAAGTCACAAGATGTCACTGTTTGCATTTAAAATGTTCGTGTGAGAGTGTCGCGAAGTGAGAAATGATGATAAAATTCCCGTAGTTTGCACTAAATGTAGTTTACGTAAAAGGGCTGAACTATCCACATACAAATTATTGTTGCTCATCAGTTGTGCGCATTTCCGTGTTCAAACGGTGATGTTTACTTTGCCTTCGCCTGGTGTTCCCTATCTTTTTGAATAGTATTTTTCAGAGACACGCTATATATTGTTTCATATCATTGGTAAAGGCCAGAGTGAGCTAGATAATTTTAAATTAAAATACCTTTACCGCGCATTGGGCAAACAACTAACTAATCACATACCTGCCACCGCTACGAGCGCGAGCACCAGGACAACTCTTGCTGCCATGTCGCCGATCGGTCGGTGCTCCGTGTTCCTCTGGCTTTGGAGCGGCTGCGAGCACCCACCGTCACCGTCCTGCCGCCGTCGCGCGCTCTCACGGACTGACGGACGGACGGCTGGCGGTGCGTCCGGTGCACGGAACGGACCCGCCTCACCGACCGTCTGAAACCGACACCGACACCGGTGCCGGGGGGGGGGGGGGGGGGGGCGAGTCCGGCAGCGTCACCGGCCGTTGCTACCTCGCTTCCTATTATCACCATTGCTACAAGCACTACCCATCGCTACACGCCGCTGTCACAGCTACCACTGATACCATCGCTACAAGCGCTACCCATCGCTACACGCCGCTGCCACAGCTACAACTGATACCATCGCTACCTAACACCGCCATCGCTACCGTCGGTAGTTACTCACCGACATAAGCGATGTGTCCGCTGTTATTGCTCGTCCATTGCCACCGCAGTGGCTGCCGTAGCTGTTGCTGTAGTCGCTGGAATGGTCGTTGCCATAGTCGTTGAAATAGTGCTGTAGTCACTCAGTCCACTGTGTGATGGCGCCACCACCAGTTCATCGTTTAGCCGACAGTCTACGTCTATAGGCTGACGAGGGATTGTGGTGGGAAGTAAGGAAAGGGGAGGATGTTGTGGGGACGGTGAAGTGCAGTAGGCAGTTCGAGTGGCTTTGATTAGTGGGTTCGATGTTTTGAGGGTGGCGGGAGACCGAAACACTAACTGTGGGACATAAACTAAAAAACCTAGCCTAAAAAGAACTTAAAAAACTAGCCAGAGGACAGAGCATACAGCCTGGAGAGGGCTAGAACTGGGAAGTATTTCTTCAAAAAGAAGAAGAAGAAAAAACGGAATCACGTATTTTTCATTTTTATAGCATGTCCATTCTATAATCATTTCTTCATTTTTTTTTCAAGCAACCTATAAATATTTTGGGATTTTAAACACGTGTGTGATTAATTTGCAAAGATATTTCGTGGCAGATATTTATTTCTGTGGGTAATGATTTTGGATAGTTAAAGTTCTGGTTTCGTTTTTTATGAACACTATGAATACCTTCATCTGGAAAGATCCAGATTCCAATAGGTGAAGTCGTGACCTGACATAACTCAAAGAAAGATTAACTATTCTTCTCAGTGTCTTATACTCGCAGCTCTGCGCTTCAATTGGGACAAAGTTATTCTACAGGGTGTCTCAAAAGTTCGTTCACAGGTACCAGCCATGCTTTTTTGTCAATAATTCTGAATCAACAATTAATTAACCGTCGAACTTTTGCATGGGCATTCGTAACAACCTTCCTCAAGCAGTCTCATTGTTTCAAGCGCATTCGACCCTTCATGAGCTCACAAAAAGGGTTCATCTCTGACCATGGGTCAGGCATGAAAATAGAGGTCACAAAATCGGGTCGGCTGACAAACTCTCTATTTCAGGAGTAATGGGAATGGTTAAGTCGGAAATGACCCATGGCAAACTGTCGGCGAGGATGAGTACAACATGATGATCATCTAATAAAAACGGTGGCTAAAATTTTTGAAGGACAAAACCATGCGAGACTAACAGCGTTTTGAACGACCTTCGTACGACAGCAGACTCGTGCTCCGGAAAGCAGCTTAAAATGAAGTCATAACTATTGAAAACTGACAAGAAGCTCACAGACAGAGGTTACCCAGTTTCAAAAATTGCAGTTCATCGTAAAATAATGACAAAGTATCATTTTAAATTGTTTATTATATCTATAACGCTAAATTTTGGGGGAAAATGACACGAAAATCGTCAATGCCAAGGACAACTGACCCTCCAAAAGTGTCAATTAATGTAAATTTTTATCTTACGAAGTTTCAAGAGGCAGATCTGGAGCGAATAGCTTTCTTTTAGACACAAAATCCCGACAAAACCGCACGATGGACAGATTTTGGCCGTTTACCAAGCAGAACCTCTCCTGAGGAAAACACTCCGCAACCCAGTGAAGATCTTGTCATGGGGAATGATGAGCGTTTGGGATTTGCAAAATTTGCACAACGTGTCTAAGAAACAGATGGCCGACACATTCTTCTACGATATGCTGCGAAAAATTTGCCCCTGGAACTTCCCATTTGTTCAGGAATGGGGTCGTTTTGAAAAGGAAAATGGTGCTTGGGAGGTCGGCGCCAGTCATTCATGAAGGAGTTAGCGCCAGAGAAGACCTACAAAATACTCACGGATGGTGTCGATGCAGGCTGACGGCTTTCAGGGAGAAGCGGATGTTGCCGGGGAGCTCGTCAAACCTAACTCCGACGCAGAAACTGCAGGGGATTCCCCTACAAGAGCTTGAAAGCTGGTAACCTTTTATCAGCCTCCGGCAGCTGACGGAGCGACGAAAATCGGTATGGACAAATATTTTTGGAGATACAGCAAATAGTTTGATTTCCAACCTTCCGAATCAGTTGTCAAAGCATGCATATTTGTCTAGTGTGCACACAGACACCAAAACCTTAGATTTTTGGCCGGTTCTTATATGCTTTATGGGCATGGGAAATGTGTGAACGAACTTTTGAGACACCCTGTACATAGCACTCCCGATTTCGACGTTCTCAATTCCTCGGTATTCCGGAACCCTGTCCGGGCATCTAGATTGTCATTTGGAGCGTTTTAATTAATAAATAGGTACCTACTGTCTTTTGACCTCTCATGATTCAACTTGAACGAAGTCAAGTGCCTGCGGTCAGCTATCATTGTTGGATGTTACCGACATTCCTACATAAGAGCGATTGAATTGATTTGCTCTTCGGCAGCGTACTACTAGAACTATTAAAATAAACGTGTTTTCCATTGATTTCTAAGGAAGTTAACACGCCACTAGTACAGAGTCACAGAAATAATAAGAAAAGCACTGACAACTCTGAAACGAAACGTTAGCAAGCTCAAGGACAGTGAACTAAAAAAAAATGACACTTGTTATCGGCTGCATAATTTTTTTTCCGAACGATTAATTCTGACTCGTTCAAAAGAAAGAAAAATTACCGACCGGATGTACGTGACTAGTTATCTGCCATTTTAAAAGCGACTATTGAAATAAATGCAAGTCACAGAAAACCCCTGTTCGCGGTGTGGTCAGTGGAATTTTCCCCACCGCCCAGGGAGTTTCTGAGCTCCACTGAAGCACCATCCATCGAAGACAGGTGAATTTCGCAACACGCACCGAATGCGGTAAACACATGACTTGTGTGTGGAACAGACAACGGCTGGAACTGGTAACCACATAATACTGAAGTAAGACACAACCATACGAGCTAGATCAGGTCAGAAGGAACCAGATGAGTGTGGAATAGGCTGGTGTATACTGGTGAATACCGGTGGTACACTGCATATTGGTGATGGCGGTTTAGCTGTATTTGCTGAGTAAACACAGGGATAATTCACCAAGTCACTGTTGACTGCCTCTGCAGCTCGGCTCCGTTTAACGACAGATCGACTCACGTGCAAGGTCGGCACGGTAGGTATGTGCTTTGTGAACATTGCATACTGCACGTGCTGGCATAAAAGTCCAAAGAAAGATGAAATGCAATTTATCCGGACGTTCACATTTGGCCGACTATGGATGATTGCAGCGGATACGGTCAGCTACATCCGACAGAGATATGTGGACAACATGGTAATTGGTTACGTGACAACACGGTTTAGCACGACAAAGCACACGGCCCACGGGGATCGTCTTATATTGCAATTAGATGTTCTTCTTACGAATGCTCGCCTTTATATGTGGTTGCAGCAGCTCCCAAGCTTCGTATTTGCTTTGACAGACCTGTCTACTGCGAGCAGCCATACATTTCAATAAAGTCAACACATCGTCTCAGCCCGTCACTCAGCAAACCCACATCTAGACTCGTGCGTGCTCACGCACCCATCCTCCAACCGCCGAGAGCATATGTGCTGATCACTCGTCGATTGTTGAATTCCTCATTAGCATTCACCAGCGTGTGTGATGATTACATAGAAGTTCCCGAGGCGGCAGTCGGCCGGTTGGACCAAACCTTGAACCACTGAGTGTGGAATAGACGGGACCAACACAATGCAAACCGGTTGGTAGATATTCGGACAGACGGGCTTTTCCTCATGGTAACAGCTGGCAGCGGCGTTATTTGATGGGCGATGGTGGAAAAAGGTGTGGTTGTTGGAACTTGCATTGCAACCGTCAACATTGTGACTAGCGCTCACAAAGAAGACTGTCGTAACTTCTGATTCTGTTTTTTTCAGTAGCCAGTTTTTCTGTTTTTAATATTTTTTCTTAAATTACCGATATCAAACGAACCACGAAAGCCAAGCAAATATCAAAATAGAACAATACGGCTTAATTGAGAGAGTTCAACTTTGTGACTGCAGAATGCGGTTACTGCGGTGGTTATTTGTGTGTTGAACGGTGCATTACAACACACTGCGGCTGAATGCCACATCCGCCTTCAAAACTGCAACTCATCCAACAAAAGGCGCCGAATCCTCCCTAGCTGTCTACCGGAGAGGATAGGGGTGACTGTAAGATCGAAATGTCGTCTTTTCTCGCAATGCTCAGTGGCGCGGGAACCGGGGGGCTAGCGGGGGCTGAACCCCCCCCCCCAGCTTTTCGGCTGGGGGGTGGGCTCGTAATGTATTTGACCCCCCCCCCCCAGCTGGAGGAATCGAAATCGGAAATCTACCAACATAATTTCATAGATTCATACATAGGCGCGGGAACCGGGGGAGGGGGCAGTGGGGGAAGCTTGCCCCCACAACTCTGCGGCCGTGGGGGCGGTGCCCCACAACTTTTCATGAGGCCAGGAGGCAGGAACCGTTGGGCAGCTTGTCCTTCCCAAATTAGGGGTTGTGGGTCACAAAGGAAAAAAGCATGTAAGTGAAAAATCCACCTCTTTCACTGGCTCGGCAACTCATTTGGCAGATTAAAACCTTTACTCCAGGTTGCCAAAACGGTAGTTTTTTTTCACTCAGCTGAGACGGAATACCTCACTTTTTTGCAATTTTTTCGTTTTTGTTGTTGTTGAAAAGGCGAAAGTGTCGCCGACAAACTGTCGTTCGGAGTTCTTTTCTGGTTGGATGTGGACTGTATTTTATTCGGTGAGTT